TAAAGTTTATTTATATAAATTAACATTCAATTTCATTTATATTTTGATTATTATTATTTGATTGAAACTACATATATATAAATATTAACCAAATTTATGTTTCTTCATTTTTTTTAGGAAATTATATTGTGTAATTATTCACTTGATTGAGGTAATCTTTAATTTTTTGGACTATGTAGTTATATTTTATGTTTGTTATATTGTTTTTATTTTTAAATTATGTTTTAATCATTAATTTCAATAAATAAACATAATAATTTTCTGTTTATATTGTAAAATGTTAATATTATATTTATTTCTTATGATATTAAATATTGTGAATTAATTAATATTTAACTATAAATTAATTGAATTAAATAATATATATATTAATTCCAATATCAATTCAAGAAACCTTTTTTTTAGTGGTTTTCTTTACCAATGTTACCTTTGTCGGTAACTTGAGGCTTAAATTGTTGATTTCCTCCTGGAAACCTCCTAGACCAACGTGATCTTCATCGGTAAGCTGCCAAACGAAAAATGGCTTTCTTCATTCCCGATGTTAATCTTGTCGGTAAATTAAAATTTTCGTACAGCTTCTTCCTTGTTGAATTAGTGACGTAGCACACCTTCAGAGGCATTGCTGTACTTGGAGATGTGATCTTTGTCGGTAAATTACCGACGTGGGTTACCAGAAAAAATCTCCGATGACACTGTTCCGGCTTTTTGGTGGAGATATGTTTCTTGTCGGTAATTGGCAGCCTTCTCACTGACGTAGCTTTAATCCACGTCGGTAAATGAATTACCGAGGCCACTTTTAGCGACAACAAGTTTACCGACATGATTCAAGTGGGAAGTTGGTTTTACCGACATGATTTCCTTTCTTTCCGACATGCTTTCTCATCGGTGAAGTTGTGAATTCTTGTAGTGAAATGAGAATTGTCTCATGTTACATAACACATTATCAAATGTGTTTTGCAAAAAAACATTTACAAAAAACAATGGAAACTAAATCAATACCTTAAAAGTATATTGTAATGAAATTCACCCACAATAAGGCCAGTGAAGCCTAACAATTAAACTAACAGCAAAAGTTGTGAAGCTTGTAGCAAAGCTCAAATAAAAGTACAGTTAAGTAGGTAGAATAGAATTAACAGCAAGTAAACTTTCTTTAAGAGATCTCTTTATACTAATTCAAAAATTAAAGAAGCATTTCCTGTCATTATCCAATCTATCTTTCTATGCAAAGTGCTATTCTTGTTAAGTATCTTTTAGACCATGTTCAAACTTCCTTCACCAATACATAAATGCTCTTATCAATTCATAGTCACTAAAAAGTCAATGTAAAAAGTAGTAAAGTCAATAATGAATCCTAGTATTCTACATACATATACTTTATATTGCTGGATGATTTTACATCTATACTTGTAAACAAATTCCCAATTCTAACCACCTTTAACATATGTAATTATGTATTGCATTTTACATGTTGCATTTTGTTGTCTCCATGATACCCATAAAGGAGAAGGAAATAAAC